CACTGGGGACGAAGCGGAGTCCAGCCTGGGGTCGTCACATGTGGTTGCCGCAAGACCGCCGGCCGCTCCAAGCCCTTCTCAAAAGCCGCTCAAGCCCGCCGGCCGTTCCTCACTCTAGGCCTCCGGCCTCTGCTCACTCAAGCCCCGCCGTGTGTGATGCTGTGTGTTTTGTTGTGAAAGCGAAACTAGCAGCCCTAATGTACATGTACTTGTACATTAGTTTTCCTTAATACACTTTAATGTGGAAAGACAATGAAACCTTTAGCTTTGGATTAAGTTCATTTAATATTATATTTTTGTTTAACTCGTTTCTTTTTTCCATTTATTTTTCATTTTGTTCCTTGCAAAAAAGAAAGACAACAGATTGTTGAACTTGGTCAAGACTAAACTATTTGCATGTAGAAATGTAGTCTGTCTAACACACACTTGCTAGGTAAATGATAGGTAGATAAGAATGAAGATAGATTAATTTTTTTTTATTTTAGTCTATATTTGTTCTTATTAACACAAAGATTAGTATTTCCAATGCATCGTGTAAGTGAAGATACATGGTTATTGCATGATCTGATTCTGCCTTATTGACTTAAAACAGTTAACCCACTGTATAAATATTTAAGACACAACTTTTAATATATTATATTATTATATATTATAGATTATTAAATAAAATTCTATTTAATTAAATTATTCAATAAGTTATATAATGTTTTAATAGCAGCTAGGGCCAGAATTAATCATTGCAATTTTATAAACTTATTTTTAAATATAATTCCAGGTTCTTAAGTTCAGACTGTGCAGATCTGTGCATCAAATTGCTATGTTATTTTTTAATGGAATAAAATGTCAATGACTCGCTATTGTTCTGCTACACTAGAGATGCCGTTCTGTGCATGTGAGGTTTATAACAATCAATAGATCAGTGACCTTTATTCTGGTGCTTTGTCTTGCCATCCTGTTGTGTGAAATCGATCTGTATTTGTGTGGGGGATTGATAAGAAATATAACAGTTATCAGGAAAGATGCATTAACGGGAAGACACGTGGAAGTGTTCTCATGTAGAAAGTCTAAAACTACAGTCTAGCCTGGTTAAATTTGGCATCCAGCTGTCGTCAGACATGGTCCTGTGTTCTTTTAGCAGAGACTCATGGGAAGGGAGGGGAGGGGGCTCCTGCACTCCAAATCGCATCGAGCAGCCGGTGAGAGAACGTTCTCACAGTCAGGGGTCTATGTGTGTGATGCAGTGCTGTGTTTATGCAGCCGTCTGGTCCTGATCATCACCGATGCTCTTATACCCTCACTTGTGGTTTAGCATGACTGGATGTACAAGTTGCCCGTAATACCTATTTTAAAAGAGTCATATTTCTTATTTTTGTAGCATTTTCTCCACCTATAATGTTACTCAAGGTTTCTTGCGGCGTTTAGTTTCTCTTGACCATCTCTGTGTGGTAAAGAAGCTGATTGAAGGTGAAGTGTAGTTCGTTTCTGTCATCATTTACATCACCATCATGAACTCAAAAAAGAATCCAAAATTTGAATTCAAAAAAAGGTTTGTAACTGCATGCATACTTTAAATTATAATGAGGTATTGGTCTAGTGATGTTTGTCTGGCAGATTAGTGGCATTGAGGTTTATCAGTCTTAATTTACACTTTAATGATGGAAACACATGGTTATTCTCTTTGGTAATTGTCAAAGATGTTAGTAACATCCACACCAGTGCTGTTTTGTTGTATTGAACATGTTTGTCTCTTCTAGATTACCTGGACAATGGCAATAACAAGATGGCAATCCAGCAGGCTGACAAACTGCTCAAGAAGCACAAAGATCTTCACTGCGCAAAGGTGTGTTATTTTTTTTTTATTCCAGAACTCCATGACCAGCTCGTCATATTAATAGCAAACACTAGGGCTGAAATGTGGGGTGGGAAAATGTAATTTTTATTTTATTTTATTTTTCTGTTACAGATTGTGATTAAACATGCTTTTATTTATTTATTTATTTTTATTTTGTTTTATTTTTTTTGTTTTGTTTGTTTTTTGTTTTTAGCCAGCTGCAGGTTTGTTGTGCTTCTTTGTAGAGCTGCACTGTTTGGCCACAATATTTTTATTTCAGTAATATGATTTTTATATTGTAATGTTTATATATTAATATGACAATAAAATAATAAAATGCTTGCATCAATAATACTATTATTATTATTATCAAATTTATTAAATAAAGTAAAATATAAAAAAACAATACAACTCACTGTAAAAATATTTAATTGCAGAACTTACAGCTGTCATAATTTCTTCATGTTCATGCATTAAACAATCAAGTTTTATTTTGGCAGAAAAACAAAGTTAAATCTTTTGTTTGAAACACGCATTTGATAATTGCACTAAGGCATATTGCGATTTTAGATTTGATTTGGATTATTCATGCAGTCCCAGCAAACACAGTTTCCAGTTTAATTTTGGTCACCAAAGTTAAATCTTTTGTTTGAAACACGCATTTGATAATTGCACTAAGGCATATTGCGATTTAGATTTGATTTGGATTATTCATGCAGTCCCAGCAAACACAGTTTCCAGTTTAATTTTGGTCAGCTCAGGCTGCGATTGGTTCGCTCAAGCTGACTGTCACAAAGGATTAGCAGAACTGATGGATTCACGTCGTACTTCACATGATGCTGTGGACAGTGGTCAACACAAAAGGCTGTTTTGTTTAAGAAAGAAAAAACATCATGAATTTGACCTTCTAGATCAATTAATTAGCTCCAGACACATTTGTTGCATGCTTTTGCTCTTGTTTGGCAGGTCTTGAAGGCGATTGGTCTGCAGCGCACCGGCAAACAAGATGAAGCCTTCACGCTAGCGCAGGAAGTGGCCGTTCTCGAACCCACAGATGACAACTCTTTGCAAGCACTGACCATCCTCTACAGAGAAATGCACCGGCGTGAGTGTTGAAAGCACAGACACAGAACCTCATCCTAACAAACTATGAATTTCCTTTTTCTGTCCTCACTGGAACCGAAATGCCATTCAGAGTATGTTTGGTTTTAATATGCAAATTGACATAGACCACAAACCCAAAAGCTCAAATTTTGTGTTTTTTTTTTTTTCTCTTTCTTTCTATAGCCGAGTTAGTGACCAAGCTTTATGAAGCTGCCGTCCGGAAAGTTCCAACGAGCGAGGAGTACCACTCTCACCTCTTCATGGCCTACGCCCGGGTCGGAGAGTACAAGAAAATGCAACAGGTTTTGTTTGTGTCCTCTCTGATATCATCAGTCTTTACATCCTGTTTAAAAAAATAAATCAGGGCTGCATGATATGGGGAAAATTTTATTTTAGTTTTTGATAAAAATTGTGATTTAAAATTTAGTAAAAAAAAAAAAAAAAAAAAGCTCCAGGTTTGCTGTGGTTGTTTGTAGGGCTGCAAAATTCAGCAAAAAAAAATTGAGGTTGTATATCAGTATCACTGTAATAATAATAATAATAGTAGTAATAATAATAATTATCATTGTTATTATTGTTGTTTATTACTATTAAAAAATCAACAAAATAGGAATAAGAAATATTACTACTTATTCCCTTTAGAATAAAAAAAATCTAGTATTAAAAACTGTTATAATAATAATATTTTCCATTACTAATATTTATGCATGTCTTAATTTCTGCATTTTCAAATATTAAACAATTGAACTTTTATTTTGGAGTAAAACCAGAGGGAGCCATTATTATTATTATTTATTTATTTATTAATTTTTTTTTTTTTTTGCAAAATTATTAAAGAAAATAAATACTATTACTAATACTATAGTACTATTTATTATTCACTGTAAAATAAAAAAGTCTAGTATTTAAAATAATATTATGTAATATTTGATTTTCCTGTACTAATTTTTATGGCTTTCTTCATTTATGCATTTTCAAACATTAAATTATTGAGTTTTTTATTTTGGTGGAAAAGCACAGGGAGCCCTTATTATTATTATTATTACAAAAATATTAAACCAAATAAATATAAATATCCACTCTAAAGTATAATTATATATCTAGTATTTATGGAAAAATTAATTTATTTTTTTTTAAGTTGAAGTATTAATATTTTTTGCCTTCTTCATTTCTGCATTTGCAAATGTTAAACCATCTAGCTTTTATTTTGCTGGTAAACCACAGGCCTTTAAAGCTTCTCTTTTTTGTTGACAACAGCCATTTCAATTTGCATTTCAATTTTAGGAAGTTGGTTGTTCCCAAATGCACATAAGCGAGCCAAACTTTGAGATTTGATAATTGCATTAAGCCATATAGAGATTGTAGTTTTAATAGGGCTGCATGGTTAATAATGAATCTCTAAAATATATGTTTGTGTCCACAATTCTGGCAGGCTGGAATGGCGCTGTATAAAATTGTCCCCAAAAACCCATATTACTTCTGGTCAGTGATGAGCTTGGTGATGCAGGTACGGTGATGTTTTTTCACTTACATAAACAGTACATATCAGAGATGAACCCATGCAGAACAAAATAAAACAACATCATCAATGCAATTTGTGTTTAAGGCCATCTCAGCACAAGACGAGAAGCTCTCTCAGACCATGTTCCTGCCGCTGGCTGAGCGGATGGTGGAAAAAATGGTAAAGGAGGAGAAAATAGAGGCAGAAGCTGAGGTAGGACTTTGGTATCAATAATCTGTTTCTGATTTCAGCCGTATGAAGTTTATGATGCATTTTCCATCGGCCATTCCAGGTCCAGCTGTACTTTATGATCTTGGAGCGTTTGGGGAAATATGTGGAGGCACTGGAGGTGGTTCAGGGGCCACTTGGAGGTGAGGAGAAAACAATGTGTGTTCTTCGAAGGAATATTTTGGGTTATTTCCAGTTGAATGTCTTTGTGTTGCATGTGTGACGTGCTGCCAGTTACCAGAGATGAGAAGCAGGTAAAAAAGAACAGCAATTACCAACTCATGGGGGATTGGTCTCCATATAAAGAGCATGTTATTATGAAAGGTTGTGTCCAATACAGGATAAAAAAAATAAAAATGTGTAGGTAATTGTGACTTTCTCTCTCACAATTCTGACTTGTTTTTGAATTGCAAGATATAAATTCAGATTTGAAAGATATAAACTCATAATTTGAGAGAGAGAAAGTCACAGTTACCTTTTTTTGTATTTGATACATAAACTCGGAAGGAAAAAACAGTCTCTTACTCTTTTTGGTATACTCTTTTTGGTATAAAATAACCTGCGGTCAAATAACTGAATATACATTACCATTCAAAAATTCGTGGTCAATAATTTTTTTTTTTTTTCAAGACATATTAACAGGGACATATTAAATTGATCAGATGTGACAGTAAAGACATTTATAATGTTACAAAAGATTTCTATTTCAAATAAATACTGTTCTTTTGAACTTCCTGAAAAAATGTATCACTGTTTCCACAAAAATATTAATGTTCTCGGCATTGATAATAAGAAATGTTTCTTGAGCAGCAAATCAGCACATTAGAATTATTTCTGAAGGATCATATGACACTGAAGACTGCAGTAATGATGCTGAAAATTCAGCTTTGATCACAGGAATAAATTACATTTTAAAATATAATAAAATGCAAAAGAGTTATTTTAAATTGTAATAATATTTCATTATTTTTTTTACTGTATTTCTAATCAAATAAATGCAGCTTTGATGAGCATAAGAGACTTCTTTCCAAAACATTATAAATTCTATGTGCTTCTACCATTGACATTGCATTTAATGTTTGTACCGCAAAGAATGTGCAACCATTTGATTTTTTTGTCTATACATTTAATGTCTCTTAGTCATTTGCCTTGTGTTTTCTCCCTCAGAGAAGCTGACCAGTGAACTGCAGAGCCGTGAGAACAAATGCATGATGCTGTACCGCCGTCTGGAGCGCTGGGCCGAGTGCAACGCGCTGTCCTGCAAGCTGCTCCTGAAAAAGTGAGTCCACCACTGATACATTTTCTATGAGTTTCTCGAACGGATTTAACATAAATAGCAATTTTGGAGTGAAATCGTTCCATTTGAGCAATGCATTTTCAGTACGTAAGATGTTAGTCATTTTTTGTTTCTCTCTGCAGCCCTGACGACTGGCAGTTCTACATATTGTACTTTGACTCTTTGTTCTACCTTATTGATCAGAGCTGGGCACCTCCGCAAGAAGGAGCTCAGTAAGTAGAAAATTCACAACATTTAACTGGGAAAGAATTTGTCACACATGAGATGGAAAGTCAGGTGCACTGCGTTGAATACTGGCTGTAGGTGATTGGATATTCCATGCATATTGAGCACAGTTTGCATACTAAAAAGTATGGCAAATCTATTCTGCACACATTTCTGTCTCTCAGTATCATGCATGCCGTGTTGTTTCTCTCACTACTGCAGTTCTGCAGAGGGAGAGGTGCATGCCTCCACAGCTCAGGCCATCAGCTTCATGGAGGACCGAATAGTCACAGAAGAAGCGAAGGAGTCCAAGCATCTGAGAGGGCCATACCTGGCCCGTCTGGAACTCATCAGACGACTCCGAGAGCGCAGCTGTCCTGAAGCACAGCAGCTAGGTACACAATGGGTTGGGACTCTTTAAACCCAACGCAGGCTGCATGTTTGCTGTATGTTTCTGACGTGTTTTCCCACCATGATGCAGGTGAACCTCTTGAGCTCATGTTCCAGTTCTTTGTGAAGTTTGGAGACAAGCCATGTTGCATCACCGACCTGGAGATCTTTCTGGATCTTTTCACACCTGACCAACATGTGCAGGTAATCACGATGAGAAGCAAGACCAGTGCTTGATTTTAGAGCTAAATTGACTTATATAAACACCCAAACCGTGTCAGTGTGCTATTCACAAGCAGCATTAGCCGATGTGAGCCATGCCCCACAAAAAAAGATCTCAGAAGATCTATGATCAAGAGTTGTTGATATGCATGTACCTGGAAAGGTTTACAGAGTCAGTCCACAGTTAGACAAATTGTCTATAAATGGACACGATATGGTACTGTGGCTACTCTCCATAAAAGTGGGCACCCAGCCAAAGGCACAATGTAGAATGCTCAGTGAGGTGAAAAACAACCCTAGAGTAACAGCTAAAGACTTGAAGGATTCATTGAAGCTGGTTAACATCTCCGTTCACGAGTCAACCATACATGAAACATTGAACAGGCATGGAAGGACACCACGAAGGAAGCCATTGCTCTCCAAACAAAACATTATAGCATGCCTAAAATTTACCAAAGACCACCTTGACCCTCCACAACACTACTGGGAAAATGCCTTGTGGACAAATAGAATTGTTTGGGAAGAACATGCAGCACTATGTATGGCATAAAAAGAAAACGGCGTATCAATGGAGACATAAAATCCACATTTTGGAGTGGCCCAGTCAAGCCCAGACCTCAACCCAATAGAGATGCTGTGGAATGACCTTGACAGTGAGTGAGCTGGGTGAGCTGAAACAGTTCTTCTGTAAGGAAGAATGGTCCAAATTCTACAATAAATTACTCCTGGACGTTGTGCAGGTCTAATATAAAGCTATAGGAAGCGCTTGCTTGAGGTTATTGCTGCCAAAGGTAGTTAAACCAGTTATTAAAGCACTGTTTCACATACTTTTTCCACCATCACTTTGTATGTTTAATGAGTGTGCTCAACAAGATCCGCTTATAAATATTGTTTGTTGATATTTGTGACTTTGGTGAAAATCAAATCTAATTTCATGACCAAATTATTAACGCAAATGAGAAAATTGACATTAGTTCACTTACTTTTTCTTGCAACTGTATGTGTATTTGCTTACCCACTAAAGAAAGAGAAAGAAAGAAAATAAATTTTATACGTGAGTTGCAAGAAAAAGTAACTGAACCAAATTGCATGTCGTTTAAACAACAATTCCGGTATTATCGTAGACGATATAGCCTATAGCGCACACCCCTACGCTCCTGGAACGTTCATTCATTCAAAATATTGTGGAAAAAGAGAACATCCTATGGCAAAACTGAAACGAAGCCATTCACACAATGCATATTTATCGCATTTTCTATAGGGACATCTATCACCGTTGCACTCGCGTCTCGCACAAGAGAGTCGCATGTTTAGAAAGCCATGTAAAATTAATGTGAGTTCAACTTTTAAAAAAACATGTCTCGAGACTTTATGGCGGTTTTTCTCCCATCCCACTTCATCTCATGTTTTTAAATTAAAAAAAGTACTCTTTGTGTTTGGTTTTCAGTCCTTTGTATTAAACTATGCATACATACATGATGCTGTTTTGTTTCTAATTGTTTAAGCAACTTAATTAATTATATTTGGTTTATAACCATTATTTTAAATATTATGCACTTTTTTCAAAGATAGTTGTGTTATTTTATTACTTTGAATAAACGTGCATTAGTAATATTTTGCTCGATGCGCCCTCTTGTGGCCTCAGGAGAGAAGCCAAAAGCTTTTTTTCCCTCTAACTGAAATTATGCCTATTAAATTTGAATATAGTTCGCATATTGATAATATTTAAGTACAAAATTCGAATTTCGTTTTTCAGCCATTTTGACAGGCCTAGTGTGAATGCTCCAACATGTTAGCGTGGGCACGGAAAAAATATGCACCGCAAACGGAGTATGTGTGAAGCAGGCGTAAGATGACCTACGTAGGTCTGGGGTGGGGTGGGTTATTTTTAGTTATTTTTTTCATAACTAATTAAATGAACGTGTTAAATATATACTAAGTTTCTTGCGACTGTCTCAGTTCATCAACAGGCTAATGGAGGCCGTGCCACTGGGCGCTCCGGGAGAGGATGGTGTTGCTCTTCCAGGAGACACGCGGGCTCTGCAGAGACATCTGTGTGTGACCCAGCTGAGCCGCAGTCTGGGTCAGCAGCACGCGCTCAACACCGAGGGCAAACTGGGCCTCATCAAAGAACTGAAGGCACATTACCGGCACGGCTTACAGTTCGGTAAGCAGATGACTAGGCAGGTTGAACTCTTATAATATCTTCCTTTTTTTAAATGATAATACTAGTGCTGTCAAACGATTAATTGCGATTGATCAATCTAAAATAAAAGTTTTTGTTTACATAAAATATGTGTGTGTACTGTGTATATTTATTAATATTTAAATAAATACACACACATGCATGTATATATTTAAGAAAAAATATGTTTTGTTTATATATAATTTAAGTTATATGAATATATACATGTAAATATTTTCAAAATTTATACTGTATGTGTGTGTGTGTGTATTTATATATACATAATAAATATACACAGTACAAACACATATATTATGTAAGCAAAAACTTTTATTTTGGATGCGATTTAATCGTTTGACAGCACTAGATAATACCAGTGTCTAATATTTATTTCGCTTCCTATCAGACTTTGTACATTTATTTCTATTTAATGTTTTATTTGACCTATAATGTTCAGTAGCAGCAGTCTTACCATTTCCCATTTTCTTTCTGTTCTAGGGAAGTCCTGTTTAAAAACAGAGCTACAGTTCTCCGATATGTACTGTCTCATGGCGGCTCATGTCTATATAGACCTGTGGCTGGAGACGGGTGAGTCTGCTCCTCATTTTTACAGTCAGCTTGATTGAAAGCGTTCATGTTTTCTTGTTATTGATGAGCGAGTGCTGTGTCTGTGTTGTAGGCGATCAGAACATGTTGTGGCAGTGTCTGGGGCTGTTAGAGGAAGGTCTCTCCCACAGTTCCTCCAACGCTCAATTCAACTTTCCGTACCCACTGTATATATATATGTTCCCGATCAGTTCATGGAGGCACCTTATTCTAAATTTTAAAGAGCTTTTTTAATTATTAGAGATGCAAGTTTTATGACAGCACATTATTTGCATACGTTAAATATTGTACTCCTTTATATAGGAAAACCAATAATACCATTGAAAATACACACTCTCCCATTCACATTTGTGCACATTAAAACCAAGTAAACCATGTAAAAATAAATAACCAATAACTTCACCTGGTTTCTGCTGTAACCATGTTGTAAGTGAAGAACAGTGTTATTTTAGTATTATTTATATACTATTAGTGTTTTTTTTAAATATTTTGTACTACCTTTTATTTTTATATATTTTTTATATTCATATATTTTAGTTTCATTTTATTCATAAATATTTTTGTAATATTTCATATTTCTGTTTAGCTTTAATTAATTTTATTTTAGTTTTAGTAATTTTAGTACTTAAACCTATTTTATTTCAGTTAGTTGCCGAGGCAACATTTCTAATTTTCATTTAAGTGAAAACAATTTTTTAATCTAATTTTTATATTTATATTTAACAAAAGCTATTTTTAATGGACACTTTTCACAGACTGTAATGGTGCATTTCCACATTTATTAAAATATACATTTTATATGTGCATATATGTTAAGTATAATATTTAGATTTTTTTGTTTCATCTTTTCAGTTTTAGAATTAACAGAAGCTATTTTAATAGTTTCAGTTAACAATAACACTGGTGAAGAAAAAAGTAAAAAAAAAATCGTTTTTGTTTTGTTTTAACGCACCATAAATAAAAGTTGATTGCCTTGTGTTTTGTACCAATTCAAAGTACAAAATATAATAATAATAATAATAATAATACACTTTTCATTGATTGAAGGTCATTATGATTGAAGGTAAAGTAGATTAAAAAAAGGAAGTCTTTGGATTAAATCACATTAATGCGTCACGGTATGTCATATTAGGTTAAACGTACTGAGCATGCAGTTTGATGTTTAAACATGACTCATATTAACACTGATCTCTTGGTTTTGTCTTTGTCCAGGTATTTATTGACCCGCTATGCAGAGTCTTTGGGCCAGTTTGCTGCTGCTTCCCAATCTTGTAACTTCTCCCTCAGGTTTTTTCACTCGAACCAGAAAGATGTACGTTATCATTCTGATTAACGACACTTTATGTACAGAATCTCCCAAAGATGACCATTCTGTCAACATTTACTCATGCATAAGTTGCTTGTTCCTGCAGACCTCAGAATACATTATTCAAGCATATAAGTACGGGGCTTTTGAGAAAATCCCGGAGTTCATCGCCTTCAGGAACCGACTCAATCACTCGCTGCACTTTGCCCAGGCGCGCACGGAGAGGATGCTGCTGGACCTCTTCCTGGAAGCCGACACGTTAGTCGCTTTATCTTTACCTTCGTATTTTCTGCCTTTTAGAAGTCAAAAAGTGATTTTGTTGATTGTTGTCTTTTCATTGCACAGATCATCTCCTCTAGAGGAGAGCGTAAAATCAATGTCTCTATGTCCGGAAGAGGACGACATCCCGTGGGACAGCTTAAGGGACAACCGCGACCTGACTGTCCTCGTCAGCTGGAACCCTAAGGACCGGTACGACGAGACCATCCTCCAGAACTATCACACGTTTTAAGCATTGGTTTGTTCTAATAATGATCACAAACCGCAGGCAGCTGAACGAGGAGCACAAGCAGCACTCTCTAGAGGACGACACCCTGTGGCTGAGGTTGCGGTCGCTCACGCTGCGTCTGATTGGCTGCGTCTCTGCGCTCACTCACCCACCGACATCACGTAACTCTGAGAAGACGACTGAAAACGGAGTGGCGGCTAAACCGTCTTCTCTACAGTCGCTGCTCTCACAGCTAGAAAACACGCTAAACCAGGCCACACAGTTCACGGAAAAACAGCTGCAGGTCAGAACTGTTACAGACCGTTTAGCACATTTTTTTCTTTCCCCTTTTATTTAAAATCTTGCTCCACATAGCTGTATATGCATCATGTAAGTTTTATGACGACATATTACTTGCACACATGCAATTTTAATAACTAATTATTTAAAAATTTTAAATGAAAATAAACTCTATCCCATACAAATTTGTACACATTTAAAAAATAAATAGCCATAGCCAGTACCTTCACCTGGTTTTGCTTCTGTTGTAACCAAGATGTTGGTGAAGAACAGTATTTTAGTATTATATATACTACTGTAGTATTTTTTTATATTTTGAATTAGCTTTGTTTATACGTATTTTTCATTTTAGTTTAACTTGTAGTAATGTTGTGATGTGCTTTTTTATTATTTTTTTTCTGTTGTGTAATATATTTTATATTTCTATTTAGATTTAATTTATTTTTATTTCAGTTTTAGTCATTTTAGTACTTAATTTATTTAGGTTAACATTTCTCATTTAAGTTTTTCCATCTAATCTAATTGTTTTAGTAATTTTGTGATGTGATTTTGTCATTTTTATTAGGGGTTTTTCTTCTCTATTGAGCTTTATTCAATTTTAGTTATAATGCTTATATGCTCATTTTAATACTTATATTTGTTTTATTTCAGTTAGTTGCCAAGGCAACATTTTAATTTATTTTGTTAACACAAGTGCTTCTTAATAGTTTTAGTTACAATAAATGAAGAAAAATATTGTTTTATTTTGATTTTTCTACTTTTTGTTTACAATGTTAAACACTAACAAAATAAATAACTTCAGTAAAAAAAAATTGATTACCTTGTGTATAATTAAAAACAAAATGTTTAAGTTGTACACAATTTATAATACTGGATATAAAATAGGGAGTTAAGTCCATTGATTGTGGCTGTATGTTGTGGTTCACAGCATCAGTACCCATTTGTGGGGCCCGTGCCGTCTCGTCTGGCTCAGGCTCTGTCCAGTGGTTGCTGTCAGTGTCAGCTCTCCTCTCTACAGCTCCCTCTGCACCTCCAGGAGCTTGAGACCGCCGGCCTGGGTTCGTTACTTCACACCTCATTATGTACAGCGTCCATCTGCTTAGCAATCCTGTTTGATTTTATGACAAATATTAGCATATTTATTTTGTTACAATTGTAAGTTTATTTTTCTGGCCTGAAAATATATATTTTTTTTAATTATATCATATGTGACCCTGGACCACAAAACCAGTCATAAGGGTCAATTTTTTTAAATTGAGATTTATACATCATTTGAAAGCTGAATAAATAAGCTCTCCGTTGATGTATGGTTACATATGTTAGGATGTATGTATGGTGATGTATGTTAGGATAGGACAATATTTGGCCGAGATACAACTATTTGAAAATCTGGAATCTGAGGGTGCAAAAAAATCAAAATATTAAGAAAATCACCTTTAAAGTTGTCCAAATGAAGTTCTTAGCAATGCATATTACTAATCAAAAATTAAGTTTTGATACACCTCATTATGTACAGCGTCCATCTGCTTAGCAATCCTGTTTGATTTTATGACAAATATTAGCATATTTATTTTGTTACAATTGTAAGTTTATTTTTCTGGCCTGAAAAATATGAAACAAATAAGGTCCTACTCAAAAAAAAAATATATATATTTTTTAATTATATCATATGTGACCCTGGACCACAAAACCAGTCATAAGGGTCAATTTTTTTAAATTGAGATTTATACATCATTTGAAAGCTGAATAAATAAGCTCTCCGTTGATGTATGGTTACATATGTTAGGATGTATGTATGGTGATGTATGTTAGGATAGGACAATATTTGGCCGAGATACAACTATTTGAAAATCTGGAATCTGAGGGTGCAAAAAAAATCTAATATTGAGAAAATCACCTTTAAAGTTGTCCAAATGAAGTTCTTAGCAATGCATATTACTAATCAAAAATTAAGTTTTGATATATTTACGGTAGGAAATTTATAAAATATCTTCATGGAACATGATCTTTACTTAATATCCTAATGATTTAAAAGAAAAATCAATAATTTTGACCCATACAATGTATTTTTGGCTATTGCTACAAATATACCCCAGCGACTTAAGACTGGTTTTGTGCTCCAGGGTCACATATTAATTCAGTTATACAATTTATTACATTGTATATTACTTTTTTTTTATTAGATTTTTAATCCTTCAATTTAATTGGACTTATGATTGTATTACATTAATAATTGTATCTCTTGTATTTTCAGATGAATCAACAGAGCTTCAAACACAAATATCTAATCTTTTCAAGTCTTTAGCAGTACAACTTCAAGGTATGTTTAAAAGCTTTGTACATATTCATGTTTAGTTTGTGTAACCAAGTCTACGTGAGCGCAAAAATAATAAAAATAGTAATAATAATTCAGCCCACTTTCACTATCCAATCAAATCTTGATGAAAATAATTCAACAAAATAAAATAACTATGTTCATGAAATTATTTGTTTTTTGCTGATGTAACCAAGTCCATGTGAGCATGGAACATAATAATAATAATAATAATAGTTAGGGATGCACCGAAATGAAAATTCTTGGGCGAAACCGAACATGGTTTTTCAAGTTTTTTGCCCATTTTTTTCACCATTGCACAAATTAAATAGACAAAATGAGCTTTTTATTGTTTTGTCTTGCTTTTCAAAGAAAAAATCAATTACAAAACAACAATTAAAAAATATTAAACACTAAACATTTTTAACATTCTAGCAGACATTATACCAACAAAGCACAATTTAACTTAAAATTAATAAGTTACTAAAATTATTATTTTTTTGGCTATCAGACCCCCTTCTTGAATCAGGCATGTATTTTTTACTGTAAAATTAAAAGCAGCCTCGCTGAGCAGAAGAGACTTCTTTTAAAAAAAGTTATTACAAAATGTAATGTATTTTTATTACATTATTACAAAATATTACAGATCCCAATTTGAACACTATGTGTGTATGTTATAATAAATGTATTAACAGAGCTGTTGTTATTATTATCATTATTGTCTTTTTATTTGATTTTACAGAACAGTAAAATTACAATACTAACATTTATGAATGTTGGAGTTCTTGCTTTTTGTCAACTTTTATTTTGGTGGAAACGCGCAGGAAGACCTCCGCGCTTCTTTTATTTGACAGCAGGTTTATAAATGAGTCTCATTACGAATACGTCGCACGTATCGCATTGTCACATGCCTTGTAAAATTTCATAAAAATGTGACCGAGCAACTGATGAGTAACACTGTTTCAGCGCAGATTTTCCTCGCGCTTTGGACTTTGAACGCTGGTTAACAAGCAGATCTGCTGCGAGTTCGTGCAGCGCTGTCAGAATACATGCAATTCGTGCGTGTGTTAGAAAACATAACGTTCTGCAGTTTATTTACTAATTGTTTAAGGCCATTTCGCGATTTCAATCAATCATACAGTAACCAGCAACAATCACCCCTTCCTCTTCTCATCAAAGACATGCGATGCAGTCCTAAACAGTCTCTCGCTGTCGGTGCTTGTCTTTCTCGGACAGTTTAAATGCTTCCACACTGAGTGCTGACATGCCTGTTGCATTATAAAGAGTGCGCTCTTCTCACTCTGCACTGGTTGCTATTTGATAGCGTCACGTTATTGATCGGTACAATTTATTCTGTCTTTTTGCTTAAAACCGAATAATTTTGGTTGCCGAACATTCGGTGCATCCCTAATAATAATTATTATTTAGCCCACTTTCATTATCCAGTCAAATCCTGATGAAAATAATTCACATTACAAAAGTTAAATGTGTTGCAGATGGGTTAATTTTGACTTTTTTTTTCTACATGCTTTTCCAGATATGTTGGAAAAATGTAAAGGTGACCTATTAGAAGTTAAAGACGATCAAAGCAAGCCGCAACAATTTTTACTGGAGAATCTAGTCTACTTTGTTGAAGTGAGTCTCTCTCCATCACTGAATTTAAGAGAATACATGACTGTTGAGAAAATAAAAATAATTATTTTTTTAACTGTTGGTTCCAGACCGTTTGTATCGTCCTATGGGTGTCTAATTACTGTGGAAGCGTCCTCCGGCCATTAAAGTCAAGTTTACAGAAGAAGAAGAAAAAGAAAAAAGAAGTCAGCACTGTAACGGTAGTAACAGCTCTGATCTCTGTTGAACCTCTCTCTCCCGAGTCAATATTTATGCAGTGTAGGGTTGGCAGGGAATGTGGGTCAGTCTTGTTTATGTGCTGATTTGTGTCTCCCACACAGCCGCCGGTGCTCTCGGCATATCAGGAGTTCAGCAGCAGCTTGCAGAGTCTCCTCAACCAGGCGCTGGAGCACATCAAGAGCCAGGAGATCAGCCTGACGGCGCTGAAGCTGGGAGCCCTCAGTCTGGAGGGTCAAACCCAGTCTGAGGTGCGTCTCAAGACAGACAGACCTTTGATTATCAGCATCGAGTCTGGTCCAGTGTTGTTTATATACTGTTCTAGTATTCACTTTTACTTTGAATTAGCTTTTATTTTTATATTTCCTTTTTTCATTTGAATTTTTTGTCATTTTTATTATGTGCTTTTGTCAGTTTTTTATGTATATATTTCTATTTAGCTTTAATTTGTTTTCTATTACGGTTTTAGCAATCTTAGTACTTAAATTTTAGTACTTTAATTTCAGTCAGTTTTCAATAGCCAACATTTATCATTTCAAAATATTTATATATATATATATATATATATATATATATATATATATAAGGAAAAAGCTAAGGATATTTATATAAGAAAAGTTAAGAAAATGCTTCTTAATGGTATTGCAGTCTTAAGAAGAATTAAAATTCTTGAGAAGAATCTTAAAATAATTTCATCACTTAAAAATCATTTAATGAATTTATTGGGTTGTTTCAAGTTCTAATTAACAATATATAATTCCTAAATATGATTGTTTAATTGTCTTTTAAGCTTTAAGCTGTTTTGTATTCCCAAAAACACTTTTTAAGACTGTTACAACAAAACTTAAGAATTCAGTCTTCTTTAAATAATTTTATTTAAAAAATAATTATTTAATGAATTTATTAGGTTATTTCAAGTTAATTGTACTTCTAATATAGTTTTTATTAAGTTTTTTTTTTAAGTTTCACTTTTTTAAAGTTATATTTTAAACAAATGTTTTGTAATGTAATTAAGTTTAATTACATAATTTTTATTATTATTTCTTAATCATTTAATTATTTAAGTTTAATTTAATAATTACGTTTGTTTAATTATAATTTAAGGAAAGAGGTTATGAATATTTTGTATTCCCAAAAATAACTTTTAAGTAACAAAACTTAAGAATTGAAATTCTTGAGAAGAATCATCTTAAATTTTCATCATCTTGATTTTATATTGATACATCTTGATATTTTCTTAATCATCATTTAATGAATTTATTGGGTTGTTTCAAATTAATTGTTGTAATTAGGAAAAACATTAAATTACTTGGGAATTTTTGCAGGCTTATGAAATGTCTTAACTTTAGTGAATCTGGCCCCTGGTCCCATAAATTGTGTAAAGCTAGCTAAATGCGTGCGTGTGCGTGCGCGCATGTGTGGTGTGCGCGTGTGTGTGTGCGCGCGCGCGTGTCTGTGCGCGCGTGTGCAATCTGAGGTTGAAACTAGGTCACGATGCTTCAGAGAAAGCGTTTCTCTCGGTTTTTGACTGCTGTTTTCTCGCTTCATTCAGGCGGAAGGGACCTTCACAAAGACGGCCATGGATAAGGTGCAGAGCAGCTACCTGCGTTCGCTGCAGGAGATCGGGGAACTGTTAAAGAAGAGAGCGGACACGTTAAAATCCCTCAAAATCTGAGCGCTCCATCGATCCGGTCCCCGACCCGCACGGCTCCACGCGACGGCCCCTAACGCAATCCTCCCGTCTCAGTCTGTGAACTCAGCTGGTCTCGTCTCCTCTTCCTATTTATCCGTCTCATTACTCACATACAGACACAGGCACACTGTAAAGTTCAACAACGGCTTCAGCACAAACATCTACGGTGCTCCGCGCAGCACTTTTAAGTGGAAACGTAAACTTCATATCCCTGGCAAAACTACATAGGCAAATGAAAATAAGCAATTTTAGAAGTACTGCTATAAATTATTGTACATAGTGTGAAGATAAAGAATATCAACGAGAACTCCTTGGCGAATTAAAGTGAACTGCTTTGTCCTTTTGTCGATGTCTTGCGTTATTGTCTCTCTCACTTCCCAGCCGTAAACCTTGCGATTGATGGTTCGTTTTCAGACGACACTCCAAAGCAAAACGGGCCCTAACGGTGCCGCTCCGTATCACAAGTAGCTAACTTCCAGACTGACGCACTCTGCGACGCGTTTACGTAGCCGTTCGCGATGCACAACCAGCCAAGAGCTACGCTTCGTCCCGAGGAGATTTTGCGCAAACTTTTCAACAGGGTGGCGCGAGTATCCAGATGCTTCGGGTGCTTCTATTGCGATATTTGTTTGTATATTACAAATGACTTTACTTGAGCCACAAGTGTACGAAATGTAGCTTTCCCGACTGTTTGTTTGGAAATGCCACCATGTGAAAACCAATAGCATTTAGTGCTACTTGAGGTTTGGGAAAGTTTGTGTTTGTTTGTTATCCTTTGATTGATGGTCAAAGACGTTTATTCAATCATGTTTGGAATTAATTTTATGATTAATTGAATCGATTGGTTGGGGCACGTTGTTTACTTAGAAAAATTGTCGATTGCACTGATGATGTCCCTTAAATGATGAGGTTTTATTGTTGTTGCATACCAAAAATGTCTAAATTAGCCTTGCGTTAAAGGGTTAGTTTACCCCAAAATGAAAAATGTCACTTATTCACCCTCATGGAATTCCGAAACCATTAGAAATTCGTTCATCTTCGGAACACAAATAATATTATTAATTGACTGTGAGAGACTTCTGTCCCTCCATTGAAACTCTTTCACCCAAAAACACTGATGATTTAAAACATTCCTAAAGAGATTTAAAAAAAAAAATCATATGAATCGAGCAGTGTAATCCAAGTCTTCTGAATAAACACAATCATTTTATGTGATGAACAGATTGAATTGATGCTTTTATTCACTTACAAGCATTGATCGATGAACATAAACAGAAGCTCAAGCATACTTGCTCGATATATGCATACTTGTGAATTTTCATTGGTTTGTTCTTGTGAGCATCAAGCAAGCATGCTTGAGTCGTCGTTACCAAAAGTAAACATTGTTTGCCGATGAATGTTAATAAAAGCCTCAAATAAATATGTTAATCTTTAAAAGACTTGGAATAAAGTCGATCAAATTGTATGGATTTATTTTTATGAACGTTTTGAGTGTCTTCAGTATGGAAGCCCGTTTCCGCCACTGAATAAAAAATTTCACAATTCTGAGAAAAAAAGTCAGAATTGCGAGGAAAAAAAGTCAGAATTGTGAGAAAAAGTCAGAATTGCGAGAAAAAAGTCAGAATTGCGAGATATAAACTCGCAATTGTGAGTTTATATCACACAATTCTGAGAAAAAAAGTCAGAATTCGGACTTTACATCTCTTAATTCTGACTTCATAACTCGCAATTGTGAGTTTATATCTCACAATTCTGTGAAAAGAAGTCAGAATTGTGAGATAAAAAGTCGCAATTACCAATTTTTTTTTTTTTTATTCAGTGGCGGAAACGGGCTTCCATACTTCAGACTTTCAAGGATGGACTTAAACATCTCAGATTTGATTAAAAATATCTTAATTTGTGTTCCGAAACAATTTCTTACGGGTTTGGAATGGCACGAGGGTGAGTAAATTGACATAATTTTCATTTTGGGGTGAAATAATCCCTTAACGTCGCAGTAGAGTCGAAGGTAGGTTTTTATACGACTGATTTGTTGATGTCTACCGGGAAGTGCAACTTGTTTACAGTGTTTTCGAGCACCGTTATGAATCATGTTTCTAGCATGTGTTGTCCGGTGTGCTGCAGTCTACTACGGGCTTTCACCGCTTTATACCTGCTCGGGGAGGGTGGAAAGACGCTTTTCTCTTTTTTTTATTTTGATGCAGGACAGGTTGTGTTCTTGCGTCGCTCCGGGACTGAGGGGCTCGTTTGGCGTCCTCACCGTCACAAAGCTCGAGGAGCACAGGCGCTTCTGCTTCTGGACGGAGGAGGTCAAGAGGTGGTTGGAAGTGTGTCGGCTGATGAATTCTTTTGTTAGGGAAATCGAGAAAACACAAACAAAAACACTGGAATGTGAAAAGGAGTTTTTTTAAATAAAAAGTAAATGTTCCACATGCTGTGCCTGCTTTTGAATTTTTTTTTTTTTTTTGCATTCACACAGCTTGCTTTTTCTTTAAAGTCAACATGAAATCTAAATATTTACTTTAAACATGCTGCTGGTTTCATTGTGATTCATTGTGCATTATTTAATGTTGACCTTAAAAATTATTTGATCTTAAAATATTGGTTTGCTTTTGTATTTTATTAGGCTACAGGATTTTGACATCAATTTCTTCAATAATTAAAATTTTACATTTTATATAAATGTACATAATTTAAATGTTATATAAAAAATTCAACTACATTTAAATGTATATATTAGTTATAATCAAGTAATTGAATTGCTTTGATGTAATTTCTTCAAATCAATTTTTTTTAATATAAATGTGAAATATTTAAGGAAATACATTTAAAAGTGTAGAATTACATTATATATTAATATATAACAACATTATTATATCATTTATACTTACCTGAATGATATAAGTGAGTAAAAATGCCTGTTATTAATATTACTAAGTAATTGTTAATATTACTTTTTTTTTTTTTAACCCTCACGCCTTTTTGCTTACTTTCTCTAGTAGCTCTTTGCTAGTGAAGTTGCCTCAGAATAACTTTTATTTGTAGCTTTAACAGTTTGACAATCACACACATTTTAAGGGTGTTTACATGCTTGCGGTTTGTTGTCTTGTCAAAAGTTATTAATAGCCTCCAGCAATCCCACGCATCTGTAACCGACGAGAAGGGTGTGGAAACCAGAGAAATGTCTCAATACAAAGAGTGACTGTGTATAACTTACTGAAAATAAGTGGGTGGATGTGTTGGAGAATGAGACACGACAAAAGCCACACGATTTTGTGCAGTGTGCGTCTATTAACCAAATTACATCATGAAGCGACGAGCCCTTTCACCACAAAAGCGCCTTTCTGTGCATCAAGTCTTTGTGATTGTGAGATACAGGAGCACACCTGTGACCTGCGATCAGAATACAGCTCACAATGAGGTCAATCTCAGCAAAAATGTCAGATTTTAGCCTGATGCAAAGAAAAATGAAGAATATGCAGCCTATTGAAACATGAAGCCTACATGAAAGTTACATGCATCACCCCAATTCTCAGTGTAAAAGCATTTTTTCAATTACTATAATGCAAAAAATATGGTATATTATTTAAGTTGTGGTTTAAACGTAAGTATTTAGTAGTATTTATTGTAATTATTAGTTTGGAAGCCCGATTCAGACATTTATATATGTATGTATTTATATATTTATTTATTTTTACTAAAAAAAAAATTCAAAAATTGCAAGAGGTAAACTTTGAATTCAGAGAAAAATGTCAGAATTGTGATTTGAGTCTATATCTTGCAATTCTGACTTTTTCCTGAGAACTGCAAGTGTATATCTCACAATTCTGACCATTTTTACCAAAGTCACAATTACTTTATTTTTTTATTCCATGGTGGGGGTAACAAAAAAAAAAAAAAAAAAGATTTGTGAGATAAACTCAGAATTCTGAGAGAGAGAGAAAAAAGTCAGAATTATGAGATGTAAACTCAAAAAAAAAAATCACAATCTTCCAATTGTGACATTTTTTTCCTCAATTTTCTTCTCAGAATTATTCTGATTTTATGTCACAATTCTGTTTTTTGTGAGGAGGGGGGGAATTTTTGGAAATGGGCTTCCATTATTTTTATTTTATTTTTTTATGGAATAAAACAAAACAATCGCTAACAGAAATTAATTTACCAAAAAAAACAAAAAAAAAACATCAGGTGCATTACTGCAAAATATCATTTCTTTTTTTTCTCTCCAAGCGAAACATGACACAAACGTGTTTTTGTGGGATTCTTCTGTCAGAGTTGCAGAAAGCAATATCCAATCATTTCCACAAACATAAAGTAAATCAAAAACTGACTTCTTCCAACTATGAGGACACTAAAAACATACGAAAATAAAATTGTGTGACAAGAACAGCACTTTGTTTTCATATGAAACCGGTTGAGCTACATTTCTAAGCGGAACTGGTGTCCTCGTGCGAACAAATCGTGATATATTAGAGCTTCTAACATGAGGAAGGGTGATTATTCAAACTTCCTCATTTCCTGTGCAACATTTCTGCCATCCGTTAAGCACTGAATATACTAAACACAACATCTTTTGCTACTTTCCCCTCTTGGATCGTCCCTTGCGGCCGCTCAGTTTGCCGGGGCCGTGGGCCGAGGGCCCGGGCTGTGGGGCCGCAGCAATGTTGATCTGACCCTCTTGGATCTCTTGCCGGGCGTCTGCCGGCATGCGGTCGATCTGCTGCTGCGTCTCCAGGTAGAACATGACGTCTCGCAGCTGCTCCTGCAGCTCGGCGATCTGGCCGTCTTTATTGGCCGCCGCCTCGTGAGCCCGCCTCTCCTCCTCCTGCAGCTGCGCCTGGAGCTGCGTCTGATTGGCTCGCAGGCATCGGTTCATCTCCTGCTCCTCCCGCAGCTCTTGACTGAGCTTCACCACTTTGTTGTTCAGCTGTGAACATCTGCAGAAAACAGCACAAAAGACTGTGTAAACAGTGTATTACTATTAAAAAAAAAGTCATTTTAAATGTTGACATTTTAACAAGCAATAAGCAACTACCTTTCAAAAAATGTAATTTCCTTCAAAGAACAATATTTACTACCAATAACACAAGTAAAAAAAATGTTATTTTATTTCACTTATTAGTTTATTTTATTTCAAGTAAGACTTTTTTATAGTTTTAGTTAACTGTAATAACCCTGTTATCATGGTAATTTTGTCCGGCCTATAGTGAACAGCTATTGTAAAGAGACCCAAATGTTTCATTTGATGATTATGAAAAATTCATTTGAAAGATAATGTCATTTGTACTTCTTTTCAATGGATTGTTTTTCTTTGACGAGTTCATTGAGTTTCCGCTCCAAACTGTCACACTTGTCAATCGTCTCCTTGAATTTGGCCTTCATGTTGTTGATCTGAAACCCACACAAACATAAAGAAGCTGGATCACTGATGTTAATATGAGATATAGCAGATTCTTATGATCTTAAACATAATGCTCTTATGGATTTGTTCAAGTAAACTGTGCAGTCCTCACCTCCTCCGCTGTGTCTTTCTCCAGATGAACTATTTTATTCTCCCAGTCACACACACACACACACACCTCGAGCTGCAGCGCATCGATCTTCTCATCCTGACACGTGTCGCCCTCACACTCGTACTGCACCATCTTCCCGTCGGTTTTACTGGCAACAAGCCGATGAACGTAGTTATCTGATCAACATAAGGGCAAAGACTCCGTCAAAATTGTTACTAACAATTTTCAATATAAACTGTTGTAGGGAAAAACTTGATTTTATCCAGTAAAAAAAAAAAATTACAATTTAAAATTTTAAGAAGGTTGTAATTGAAAAGGTTGCAGATGGCTCTGGCTAATCTGCTTGGAGCAGGGTTATTATCATTAAATAAAGCTAAAATTAAAATGAAAAAAAAAAACATTTTCATTACTTGAAATAAAATAAATGCTAAAATATAAAAATCTTAAACTTATTTATTTCAGTTATTTGCCAAGGCATCATTTTTCATTTTAGTTTAACGAAACTTAAAATAACTAACACTAAATAACTAAGAAATAAAACTGAAAAAGTAAAAATAATAAAAAAAAACTATATAGTCTAATTTAAAAAACAAAAAAGAATAAAAATGTCAAAAGCACACAATTTTTTTTTACTATAATTAAAATGTAAATGAAAACCAAAAATATTAAAATTAAATTTACAAATATTCATAAAAACTATAATAGTATATCAATAATACTAAAATAACGCTGAATTGGACAAGTGTTTAAAGATGTAAAACATGATAATGATCCATATATAACAATCCATAATTTGACATATTTCTGAGTGAAATGTTAATATTAATAATCAGCAATAAATATAAATGTTTTAAATAAATATAAAAAAAAATTTACAAAAAAAAAAAAGGACCTGTAACACTAGCTTTCTCTATTCTATCCATTTTCTTTTTATCTATTATATAATTAACAAAAAAAAAACCTTGCTAAGTGTACTGCGTTAAGCTAACTGAGACTCGTTATAGCACTTGCGTATCGTTGCTCTTTTGTTGATTTTGATTGCTTCCATTGTCCTCATTTGTAAGTCGCTTTGGATAAAAGCATCTGCTAAATGACTAAATGTAAATGTAAATAATGCAGGGCAGGATTTTATATTAATATTTAATATGAATTACCAGAGAAGTTAATATTTCAGTAAAAATATTTAACAGTTATTTTCAACATTTACATTTAGGCCACGACTGGGGAAGTCGTGGCCTAATGGTTTGAGAGTCGGACTCGTAACCCAAAGGTTGCGGGTTCGAGTCTCGTACCGGCAGGGATTGTAGGTGGGGGGAGTGAATGTACAGCGCTCTCTCCCACCTTCAATACCACGACTGAGGTGCCCTTGAGCAAGGCACTGAACCCCCAACTGCTCCCCGGGCACCGCAGCAAAAATGGCTGCCCACTGCTCCGGGTGTGTGTTCACGATGTGTGTGTGTTCACTGCTGTGTGTGTGCACTTTGGATGGGATAAATGCAGAGCACTAATTCCGAGTATGGGTCACCATACTTGGCCACGTGTCACTTCACTTTTCACTTTTTCAAGCATGTGACTGCACATCAACTGTATTCTACATTATCTTTGTTTGTTTTTTTAGCATTTTTCTGCATTTCTATGACGTCACACACCTCCAGCGTAGTCCCAGACCCTGTGATTGGTCAGCTGCATGGCGTAAGTGTGCTGCGTTTCCTCAAAGTGCTTGTAGGCATGACGACTAACATAGCGTCCGCAGCCGATGTGACCGCAGATGAGACAGATCCACAGATTCTATGACACATGACAAATATGTCTAAAATATCATGTAATGTAAGTTACTGAATCCATACAGTGTACAAACTGAAACATATATCTATGTAGGATATATGTTATACATGATGTGCAAAAATGTATTAATTATATTACATTATAAATAATTATACTACATGTTTAGGATAACCTGGGTCATGTGGCTGTCTCACAGCAGATCACTGTGTCCTGTTCTATTTTTCAGATGTGTTTTGTCCAAAGAAATGTGTTATTCATTACTACAGTGATGTTTTCCATGTGCAGTTAGTCAATACTCAACTTCTTTTTCATTTATCGATTAGTTGTTTACCTCTTGGACTCCACACTCAAAACACTTGTTCTCCTCCACTGGTTCCGGAGTCTGACAGTATCTGCACACAGGACACCTGCAGAAGAAGTGCACACTGTTAGTGCTCTTAAAGGAATAGTGAAAATTTGTTGAATATTTACACATCCTCAGGCCATCCAAGATGTAGATGAGTTTGTTTCTTCATCAGATTTGGAGAAATGTAGCATTGCATCACTTGCTCACCAATGGATGCTCTGCAGTGAATGGGTGCCGTCAGAATGAGAGCTGATAAAAACATCACAATAATCCACAAGTAATCCACACCACTCCAGTCCAACAGTTAATGTCTTGTGAAGCCAAAAACATAAGTCCATAATAACGCTTCCTCTGGTGTAAAAGTCCATCTCCTGTTGTCTCTCACATCAAAATCCAGCCACATATTTGTTTAGAGTTATTTTGGACTGTAAACGGTGCTTGATCTGTGCAGATTTCTTTCCTGATTCAGAAAAGATGCACTGGAGGAAGCGTTATTATGGATAGAGGACTTATATTTTAGCCTGAAACAATGGTTTAAAGTTAAAAACATTTTAATGATGGGTTTGTTTCTTACAAACACGCAGCTGTTCCCTTCACACGACATTAATTAATGGACTGGAGTGGTGTGGATTACTTGTGGATTATTGTGATGTTTTTAATCAGCTGTTTGGACTCTCATTCTGATGGCACCCATTCACTGCAGAGAATGGATCCATGGAATGCTACATTTCTCCAAATCTGATGAAAAACAAACTCATCCACCTCTTGGATGGCCTGAGGGTGAGTACATTTTCAGCAACTGTTCATTTTTGGGGAAACTATTCCAATGTGACGTCAAAAAGACCATTTACTTTCTTCATAAATGTCCCGTCTTCAGTCTAAATCTAATATTTATGAGTCACAGTTTGAGTTAGCAGTCTGTTCAAATCACTAGCTCATAGTATGAGCGTTAGTAATAGTGATGCATGCATTAGCAAACTCCACTAATAATATCATGACCTATTTTTCATGCCCAATCAAATCCTGATGAATAAAATAAAGTCCCACCCTACAAAATTTCCCACTGAATTATCGGTTCACTCTAATATCGGTTCTCACTATTTGTCACAAAAATGCATCACACGTGCCAAATTCATGTGTGTAAACACTTAAACCTGAAACCATCTCAGCAAAAGCGGTTTGCACTCCCATTGTGCGCATGAAACATGACACTGTGACGTTCATCTCGCAGGTCAGAGGTCAGCTATGACAATTAAACACAAACACAACAGCAAGAATAGAGAACGGCCCAGCAAACCTGTATCACGTCAATGAAGAATCGGGACAAAAAGGTTAAAAGTGACGCACGTAAATAACAGATGAGAGCAAAATATGAGCACAAACACAGTGTCATACACTGATGTGTCATGAGAGAAGAATGTGACACGAGGGTGTGGATGAAATTTGCCAAGCATGAACAAAATTAACTAAAAAATATTAACTAATATAATACATATATATATA